TATGTGCCATCAGTGTAATAAAGTGGGGTGCTAACAAAAGGCTGTGCCAGCCCTTGAAGCCGTACATATAGTTGTTGAATAAAGCTGAACTCTAAGCCAACAGCTAAATACATACTGTATATGAGAAAAAGGTGAAATACATAAATGCGGCCTGTTTTGCTTTTATTTTTCTGTCCAGCCAGTCTTGAGATTTACACAGCCCCACACACAGCACAGCCAGGTGGAGGAGACCACTTTCTCTGTGGGGCCTCCTTTACACTTGTAGTTGTGGGAGGTGGGGGACACCCCACAACCAATCCTATTAAGTTGCAAAGGCAGCGTGCAGGTGTGTAAAAATGATTCACTCTGTTGTGCTCAACAATCAGTACTGCCCCCCTATTCTCTTGAATGGGGCAGCACTGTAACCCCTAAACTGTAACCATATAATGCCTGCTCACCACCCGTCAAACATCTGTAAAGAGTTATCCAATACATGGGTACTTCAACTGTACTTGCACCCTTACAGTTATAGAATGTAGAAAGGATACCTGCTGACTGTACAGTATGTAGCACTCCACCCCCTAAAGGGCCCATTGTTTTGGTCCCAAAGGTTTTTTCCCCAGTAGGTACACTAGCAACCAGGCACACAGTCTCAGTCACTATTCTGGCTTAAATTAGTCTAGGGATATTATTTTTGATGCTTTATTGTAAACGTGAACTTGAATGGGTGCAAAGTAACAGGAATACTTCAATATTGTTAAAGTGTTACTAAACCCACAACAGTAAAATCAGTCTGTATATGCAGTAAAGCATACTTGTTATACTCACTGTGGAACCTAAGGGGTTAATCTTCTGCATAAAAAGACTGTTTGATCCTTTCTTCTCTGCCCCTCCTCTTGTTGAAATGACCACCTGATACAGAATTAACCCGTGGTCACAAGCACATGCTCAGTTTGGTGTGTATTGCTAGAGGGTTTTTTTTTTTTTTTCTTGGGAGGGTGCATGTGATCAGCACAGGGCCAATCAGCACTGTCCAGACAGAGGTCAGGGGATTTCCATCCTCCTAGAGCAGAAAGAAAACTCCTCTTACAAGCTTTAACCAGTGCTCTGCTGAAGTCACAAGACTGCTCTAACTGCTGATGAGGAAAGGTATTTAGCAGTTTTATATTTACTAAAATAATTGCATTTCCTTGTTCTGTGTACCGTGGGAGACCAGATATAGTGAATACAGGGTTCTGGGTATAGTAACACTTTAAGAACTTGAGGACACCTATCTCCTTCTCAAAGTTTCCTAGCTCAGTCCTTGCGGAAACTAAAAATGGGCTGAGCTACATAGAGCCACCATGAGCTATGTCCACTTTTAAGCACAAGCAAAGGGATAGCCACAGCACGCAGTCACTGGGATCTCACATACCGATCTGTACTCACTAATGTACTTGGATAGTTGGATGCCTCCTTCCAATATCTGCAAGACATATCTCCTGTAAGCTCTTCAGACCAGATCTCTAAAAAAGAAATTCCTCGATTAGTTCCAGCAGAGTTCAACAGAATAGCCCCCCCCCCCAGCTAGTATAGCTGGGACCTCTTTGAGCAAATGAAGAAGTGCAGCTGGACTGCCCAGAGGGGCAGTGGCCCTTCAGGCTGGGATCTCCTCCTCCTCCTAGACAAGAACCCATCTGCTCCAGGCCTCAAGCTATTAATGCTCCCTCCCTATTGGTGAATTTACCTAACCTGGCACCTAACTAGGAGTCTGATACAAGTAAGATAAACACTAAGAGACTAATAAGGTCATCCGCCTGCTCACTCTGCACTCTCCTCTTCTAAACATTTTGCTTGTCAGCACATTTGCACGTACCAAGCCTGATTGGCCTCAAGTTCTGTTCAACTTCCAGTCTAAACTCTGCTGTACAGGTACTGCAAGAGGCTGATACCAGGTTAAATCCAGGTACACTGATTGCATTAAAAAAAAAAATAATAATTTTTGGTGTATAAATGAATACAGAACCACAAAAATGTATGTATTTTATATCTGCTTTAAGTTCAGCTTTGGGGTCTGATCAGGCATTATGTTAGAAAATGCATGAAGCATTTCATGTTTAATATGATTTTATTATTTTTTTTTAGAGAAAGAATGTACAGTTCACAATAGAACAGAGAATTGTCACAAATTGATACAAAAAGAAGCAGTAAATAACTTGTAGTTTAACATTAACAAGGATGCATAACCAATGTTTGCTGTGAGGTCTCCTGAAATGCTATGTGAGAAAGCAATTGTACATTGTTAATAAAAGCACAAATAAGGAACTTTAGATATATACCATTGCATCTCTGTAACAACATACCACTGAAATATGCTTACCCAGATTATGGTTCCTCTGAGTAAAACAACATCAATGCCATTCAATCTCAAGAAGAGGTGAAAGTTGAAAATACTGAGGATTACAGGATTATAGTTATAAGTGATTAATACCATAGAAACTCGAGTTCCTGGAAGGGTGCCAGAGGTATGTGTAGGAACAGGAGAGCAGGAGGAAGCAAAGGAAAAAAGAAAGAATAAAAAAGGGAAAAAAGGTAGATGATGTTCAGAAGAGGAGAAGAGGGCTCCTCTCCCAGGACTCAAACACCACCTCCTGCACCACATATCACAACCTTGTTAGAGGACCAGGGATCATGCACAGCAGACGTCACTCACAAGTATGTCAAAAAGTCAGAGGAACGTCTGAAGTAAGCTCAAACAGTTCAGGTGATCTTATGAGCTTCCATTTTTACATTTTCCCAGAAGACCATATGCTCTAGCTCAGGGGTCTCCAAACTTTCTAAACAAAGAGCCAGTGGGGGTCTGTAGGAGTTAAAGAAATGCATAGCACCTGTGGACAGTAGGAGGGGAATTAGTGTCCTATCATTGGTATTAGTGGGAGGAATAGTGTTCCATCATTGTTATTAGTGGGAGGAATAGTACAATGTTACTGGTGTCAATGAGAGGAATAGTGCCCAATCATTTATGACAGTGGAAGGAATGGTGCCTCATTGTTGGTATCAGTGGAAGGAATAGTGTCCCATCGTTGGAATCAGTAGGAGGAATAGTGCCCCACTGTTGGTATCAGTAGGAGGAATAGTGCCCCATTGTTGTTGTCAGTGGAAGAAAAAATGCCCTATTGTTGGTGTCAGTGGGAGAAATAGTGCCTCACAATTGGTGTCAGTAGGAGGAACAGAGCCACACTCTTGGTGTCAGTGGAGGAACAGTGCCTCATCTTCGGTGCCAGAGGGAGGAATAGTGCCTCATATCAGTGGGAGGAACAGTGCCTGAAGGGCTGGAGAAAGGCAAGCAAAGGGCCATGTCTGGCGCACTGGCCCACTGGCCATAGTTTGGAGACCACTGCTCTAGATGGCATAAGGGGTTTATTTACTAAAGCTGGAGAGTGCAAAATAAGGCTCACTTCTGCTTAGTAACCAATCAGCTTTAAGGTATATTGCCAAAGCTTTATTGAACAAGTTGAGGTTAGAAGTTGATTGGTTTCTATGCAGAAGTGAGCCTTATTTTACACTCTCCAGCTTTAGTAAACAAACCCCAAGGAGTTCATTTCACATGCCCAATGAGTTAATGAGGGGTGTAAGGCTTAATGATCCTGTATCTTGCAAGCTTTAATATAGCTGTAAAGTTTTATCCCAGAAAGGGAGAATCAGGGGACACGTCCCCCAGACATGCAGTATGGTTCCAGGAGCTTTCAGGCAGCGATAAAGCATATAAAACAGCAGTGTGTTTCTGTGTGGCCACCAGAACTGCACCCTTCAGCTCTGGGAACAACAGTGCCACCAGCAGGTAATCCAAGTCCTGACACAAGTCCTGATAGCAGTACTTCCCAGACCTATCCTGTGTACTCCTTTCTCATTTGATTGACATGTGCAACAAGTGGTTTATTTGTATTGGGATGGGAGCAGGTGAGAGAAAGGGATGGATAGGACTGCCCTAGTACACATCTGGTCCTCTGACAGCAAATTAAAATAATTGCTACAAAATACTTCCTATAAAGCTGGCCATATACAAGTAGATTTTTGAAAAACAAATATTACAAATATTTGTACGAACATTCATTCCAACATTCTCATTAGTACATCTGATGACATAATGAATGTAGTTTGAAAGGACTTTAAAAACATTTCAATTAACATTTGATTTTGGAGTGAATAGACTTTCCCAAAAAAAACCCACATCCACTGTTAGAAATATGTGAGTTGAAGAAAAATGTATATCCTGCTCCGTCAAATTTGCTTGTCACTGCAGTCGAAACCAAACATCAATTTGACCCCATTAACCACTGGAAAATGTAATGGACGTTCTTAAAATGAAAATTTTCTAAAGTCTACTAGTTTTTATGGCCAGTTTAGGGGAATAATTACATCACTTGGTATCATCAGCCTCGCTGCCTCCCTCTAATGCAGAGAAAATATTTTGCCTGGTGCTCAGTGAAACTCAGAGGAGTACCAGCATGACCATGGTATGCGGAAGAGGTGGAGTTGTACAGGATTTTGGTGCCAAATTGTATGAAGATAAATGAACGTTTACCTGCCTGTGAGCTGTGTCCATGCCTGAGCCTGTATCCTGTGCCCTTTTTCCAGTACCCTGTATCTTCCTCTTGTTCCCAGTTCCAGTTCTGATTCTGCCCTGTTCATGTGAGCACCCTCCATTTTTGCACATAGCGTTTGCTAGTTAGATTGTTCTTCTAGGTTTGCTGCACTTGTTAGTGTTAGTTTGTTAGTGTTGAAAAGGGTGTTTTTTATGTTAACAAACTTTATTGAATTATACTTGGTCTGATTCCTGATTCCTGTCCCACTGATCTTGCCATCCAGATACCTGCATTCAGTATTGCCTAGAACAACTCTGTTCTGTACACTAATGTTCTCTATCCCTTATGCAAATACATTTTATAGCCAAAAACTATTGGGACACCCCTCCATATCATTGGATTCAGGTGTTCCAATCACCTCCATGGCTGCAGGTGTATAAAATCAAAGACCTAGGCATGCAGACTGCTTCTACAAACATTTGTAAAAGAATAGGTCGCTCTCAGGAGCTCAGTGACTCCAAGCGTGGTACCATGATAGGTTGCCACCTGTGCAATAAGTCCATCCATGAAATTTCCTGGCTACTAAATATTCCACAGTCAACTGTTAGTGGTATTATAACAAAGTGAAAGTATGGGAACAACAGTAACTCAGCCACAAAGTGGTAGGCCACGTAAAATGACAGAGCGGGATTCGGGCATGCTGAAGCGCACAGATCGCAGAAGTCACCAACTGTCTGCAGAGTAAATAGCTAAATACCTCCAAATGTCATGTGGCCTTCAGATTAGCACAACAACAGTGCATAGAGAGCTTCACGGAATGGGTTTCCATGGCCGAGCAGCTGCATCCAAGCCTTACATCACCAAGTGCATTGCAAAGTCCACTGGACTCTAGAGCAGTGGAGAAAATTTCTCTGGAATCATAAATCATTCAGTCCGTCCATCTGGCAATTCAATAGACGTGTCTGGGTTTGGTGGTTGCTAGGAGAATGACATTTGCCTGACTGCATTGTGCCAAGCGTAAAGTTTGGTGGAGAGGGGATTGTGGTGTGAGGTTGTTTTTCATGGGTTGGGCTTGGCTCCTTAGTTCTAGTGAAGGGAACTCTTAAGGCATCAGCATACCAAGACATTTTGGACAATTTCATGCTCCCAACTTTGTGGGAACAGTTTGGGGATGGCCCCTTCCTGTTCCAACATGACTACTCACCAGTGCACAAAGCAAGGTCCATAAAGACATGGATGAGCGAGTTTGGGGTGGAGGAACTTGATTGGCCTCAACCCTATAGAACACCTTTGGGATGAATTAGAGAGGTGACTGTGAACCAGGCCTTCTCGCCCAACATCAGTGCCTGACCTCACAAATGTGCTTCTGGAAGAATGGTCAAACATTCCCATAGACACCCTCCTAAACCTTGTGCACAACCTTCCCAGAAGAGTTGAAGCTGTTATAGCTGTAAAGGGCGGGGCCAACTCAATATTGAACCCTACGGACTAAGACTGGGATTCCATTAAAGTTCATGTGCGTGTAAAGGCAGACTTCCCAATACTTTTGGCAACATAGTGTATAAGAGCATATATAAGAGCATAGTGTGGAAAGCCTATGACCTTTGAGCTATGCAGCCAGCAGACTTGAAACCAAGAGATCACTGAGAAGCTTAGGTCCTGTTTTGTGCCTGCAGCAGCTGGGAGATCTTCTAGAAAAGCCACACAACACTTAGGGGTATTGTTTAAAAACATAAAAATGCAGAACTTTTCATCCTGAGAAACTGCAAATCTGTTTATTGTGAATGAGGCCAAAATCAAATGGTACTAAGCTATTTTCTTTTCAGGCTGAATGTTATTCAGTCATAAAGAATAAAATGAAGCATAAAAATAGTGCATTATGGTCACTAGATGGAGCTGATGGCCATGAAAAAATGAATACATATTTCCTATGATGGTCAGCTCCATCTAGTGGCAATAATGCAGTACTTTCCCACACCACTCTAGTTTTAATGAATAACTAACATTCAACCTGGTGAGGAAATAACCCAATTGCATTTGATTTTGTCCTATTCACACAGAACAAATGTACTTGCAGTTTCACAGAATGAATAGCTCTGCTAATATTTTATAAATACACCCTATACTGTTGCACCTGTGCATGCATGCACTATTTTAACTTGAAATTTTAGAGTAAAAAAGTTATTGTTTTTTTCATGTTACGCAGACATGAAACAGTAAACAAAACTGTGTATCTTCACATAAGCACCTTCAGTTCTTTCATCAACTACATCTCACACAGTCGATGCACTGTATTCACGGACATTGCACACGCTACACCCATAAAGACAAATTGGGCTAAACCAGCTGAATGAGACTTGAAAATATTGTAGTTGAAAGCTTGTGGAGATGCAGACGGATTATTTAATATCTGTACAGGAACAAGTCACACTTGAATACTGCCAATCTGATTCACCACTGAAGCCAGACTGGCTGTGATGAAAGCACGGCAGGTAGACTGGAACAAAGGTTATTAGAGACAGGGAGACGGCGGTGGGAGAAGAGCGTGCCGGCAAAAGCCACACAGGCAGGATTTGTGTAATAGACAAAGCCTCATGTATCTCAATCGCAAGCCTGTGCATTCACTGCTGCGGATTAGTACTTGCTAAGGCTCTATGCAATCAGAGGATACTGCTTCAGAGCATGAAGATGTTTCCAGATAAATTAGCATGCATGAGGTGCGACTACCACCACTGTGCAGTGCGCTACCATTTTTCCCATGTTCCAGCATTTTTTTTTTCTTTTTAAAGGAGGAGAAAATCTGTATGCTTAGCCTGTAATGTTACAGTGCATGACCTATTCACAGGATCTGGATGCTTTATAAAGAAGATTGGCAGGCAAAATGTAAAGACAATTTAGTCCATATAAACATTAAAGTGAAACTATTTGGTCAACTGTCATTTTTACAGACACTTGACTACATTCCTGAATTATACAGGGTGCAAGTGCACATTTTCACAAAGATCAAACCTCTGTAAAAGCCAAGTAAGAATGCCAGGCAAATGTAAAGACAAATAATCCATATGAATGTTAAAGTATACAGTATACTATGTGGTCAACTGTCATTTATACAGACTTAACTACTTTCCTGGATTTTACAACATGCAAGTGCATATTTGTACAAATGACAAACCTTTGGTATAGCCAAGGTTTACTTGTAAAGGATGCCAGGCAAATGTAAAAACAAATAATGTATATAAATGTTGCTACTCCTGTAGGAGCTGCAAGAATACTGTCTTTAGTGTAGCACAGACATTTTCCCTTGTAGTACACACACACAAGCGGTGCCCCTGCTATCCCCAGGCAGACCTCACTGGTGCTCCTGCTCCCATGCCCTGAATTAACTCTTTCCCTGTCACTCACTTGTTGGAAATACTTCTGCACTGGTAAGAGTCTTTAGTGCAGCACAGATATTTTCAACTGTGACACAACAGTTCTTTACACCAATTGCCATCCCGCAATCCACACAGTAACATTGAACAGTCTCTTTTACTCTTTTCCTCAGGCCATTGCCCATAGCAACAGGTGCAGTATTTCAAATCCTGGGCAAGCCCCCAAATATAGCGCTACTCCCATAGGAGCTGCAAAAATACTGTCTAGGTCAGCAATGGGCAAACTACGGCCCGCGGGCCGTATACGGCCCGGCGGACCTTTTAATCCGGCCCGGCGGACCTTTTAATCCGGCCCGCGGAGCTAGGCTCCCGCAAGGCCAGTGGTCGGCAAGCCGCGGCTCTTTACAAATTTAGATGCGGCTCTCCCTGTGTGCCGGGCGCCCGCTCCCCTCCCCTCCCTCTCTCTCCTCCTCTCCCCTCCCTCCTCTCCTCCTCTCCCCTCCTCTCCTCTCGGATGGCCGCCCCCCCTCTCGGATGGCCGCCCCTCTCCCTCCTCTCGGACGTCAGGACTCTGCAGCTGTCAGGATGTAGGCGGGGCAGCCAGGATGTAGGCGGGGCAGCGTGACAAACTCCTCTCACAGTCCTCCCTGAAGACCAGAACGGCGCGGGAATACGAGAGGAACGCGCGGACCAAAGGTAAGTGAATTGACACAGGGGGGGGACTTACTATATGGGGGATGAATTACTATATGGGGGACTTACTATATGGGGAATGAATTACTATATGGAGGACTTACTATATGGGGAATGAATTACTATATGGGGGACTTACTATATGGGGAATGAATTACTATATGGGGGACTTACTATATGGGGAATTAATTACTATATGGGGGACTTACTATATGGGGAATTAATTACTATATGGAGAATTAATTACTATATGGGAGGGATTACTATATGGGGAATTAATTACTATATGGAGGACTTACTATATGGGGAATGAATTACTATATGGGGGACTTACTATATGGGGAATTAA